GAAGGCACGCACTGGGTAGCATATTATAAAAAAAATAAAACCGTTTTTTATTTCGATTCGTTTGGCAACTTACCACCGCCTTTAGAATTACGCTCCTATTTAAAAGGATGTAGTATAAAATTTAATTACACTCGTGTTCAAGAATTCAATACGTTCGTGTGTGGACAATTGTGTTTGAAATTTTTACTGGAACGATGCAACGCTCTTTAACGTTATCTTTTCAAGGTAACCAGTCTAGAATGATCAGTACCTTTTTCCCACCTATTGAATTAGATGGAACTGCAGAATTAGCACTTTTGAGTTTACAAGCTTGCAACTCTAAACCAAATGTTAGTGAAAAAAATAATTCTTTTCGTGTTTTAACCTATAACGATTACCTTGAAAGTTCAACGTCTGTTAATAATTCCGTTATTGATTTATCAATACCAATAGGATCGTACGAGTTAGATGATATAGGTAAATATCTCTCGGATGAATTGAAAAAACATAATATTATTTTTAACTTGAAATCCAATGTGAATACATTGAAATCCGAAATGTTTTGCGATAAAACAGTAGATTTCACAGCAAACAATAGCATAGGAGAGTTGTTGGGATTCAATAAAAAAACGTTTGAAGGCGGTGTCATACATGAATCAGAACAAATGGCTAATATTAATCCACTATCGTGTATAAGAATAGAGTGTGATATTGTAAATGGTATCTACCTATGTTTTTAAATTAAAAGATTCTTATAAATAGTTGTTACAGACTAAATTACAGGTAATTGTGGAACGACCAAGACGAAAGCCATTCTGTTTCTCCAATAAAAAGAATTTTATTGATTGAAGGTTGTAAGACCAACAATTCAAAAATTTTGGAAATGTGTGACTTAAATCGAAAATCGGACGATAGTTGGAAATATTGGATAGTTCACCGGACTTGTGTACAGGGGTAACTGATCTGAACTTTTATATAGAAGAGAAGATTCCTATTTCAAGTAAACGCTTAAAAAGAGTCCAGAATAAGCCATCAAGTCCAATGGACCAGTTACCATGCAAGTCAGATAAGAATTTATAAACATTTTCAACAGTAAAGTTAACATTATTAGGTAAATCAAATGACTTGATACCTAATGAGGAAGTATCAAGATTAAGTTGATTATCGGACAAAACAGAAGAGAATTACATAGTAAACGAATTGGCCGCTTTCTGCTCGTTAGTAGAGGTAGTTTCCCTATAGGAAACCTCCTTAGGAATCGCATTAAATTAAATCCAGTATTCAGCAGGGTTACTATTTAAAGATGATTCTATACGTTCAATATATCTATGTAAACATTTTTTAGATTCGTATTTAAATGAGAAATGATTCCCTATAGTCATGAGAATTTGAGGATGTCTTGAATTTAATATGTGCCTTTTTCTTTAAAAACAAGATATTTTTTAGACTCTTATCAAACCAAGGCGGAAATTTTGAATCGGTAAATGTACACTTAGGAACAAAGTCAAGAACCGATTTGTGTAAGGAATCATAAAGAGCATTAAATACAGCGTCTATATTGTATAATTGGAAAGTTGAGTACCAGTCAAAAGATGATAAGAACAAACGTGCATCATCGAAATTAGCTTTACGAAAATTGTAGAATGAGTGACTGCGATAACAATGAGGAGAAGACAGATTTATTGGGAGATAAATATTTAATGCAGGATGATAAAGGTCAGTTGGAAAAACATTACGTTCATTACAATATTGGTTCATACGACTTTTTGACACATATTAGTTTTTTTACTAGAAAATACAAGGTCAAATATAGAATTAAAATGATTAGCTATATTGTTTTTCTGAAAAAAACCGCAAGTAGCGAATGCTTCAGGGATGCAAGCACCCCGAAAGTGTGATAAGGAAGAATAAATTAGGCCATGATTGTCATTGTCCCAAGTTATCTCCGGCAAATTGTAGTCACCACATAAAATAATTACGTGGGCAGGGTAGCTCTTACTTATGTATTCGATAGAGTTACTATGCGACTCATAAAGGATAGGAGAAGAGTTAAGGGGAAAATAGACACCACCTAAAACAAAACTTGTTCAACATTTAGGTCAGGGACAGATATAAGTGAAGCGGGATAATCTTTATGAGTGCCAACCAGGACGCCTCCACCCCGATAAAATACACTAGTATTAGTACATCTATCGCATCTAAAAATATTATAATTATATAAACCAAGTTCATTATCATTAAAGTTATTATTTAACCAGGTTTCCGTTAATACAATAAATAAATGGTTAAAAGCAGATATATTACAAATTAAATTAGATGGTTTGGTTCTAAGACCACGGCAATTTTGATAAAATCCTAAGATTTTATCATGGTGCAGCGAAGAACCTAACACTGAAGGGTATAACTGTTAAAACGATCGCCCTCGTTTTTTGAAAGCGATGAACCAACATTAGGGAACCCGTTTACAAAAATTACGCGCAGGCCTGTTTCACCACTTTTGACTTCCCTTTCTATGTTCTCGTAGTATGAGCGAAAGAGCTTACGCTGTAATGAAGTTCTATCCCTGGACATCCGAAAACCTTCAGGGAAAGGCTTTCCCAAACGTTTAGCAGAATTATATGCAGAAAATAGGTTGAAAGCAGTATCTTAGATTCACAAATCATTTTTACTGGGCGTATGAAATCCGCACGGGATCTACCAAGGCGAATTAACTTATATTTCTCAGGAACAGCATTTTCCAGCGAACCGAGAGATTTAGATATAGTAAGTTTGTCATGTTCAATCGTTGAAGAGGTGTCGAATGAAGAAGACTCACGAACACCATATAAGATTAAAGTGGGGAGACACCTTTCATGCTCAAAATTTTCTTGAAGTACTTGTGATACAACAGATTGGGAATTCTCAAAGGGTTTGCTGCCCTCCGATCTAGCAACTTTACCCTTAAGTACTTCAACTTCACCATGGAAAGTGGCATACGAGATTTTAAGTTTGGATACTTCTTTAGTCAATTTTTGGAATTCTAATTTTAGTTCACTAAATTTCAAGTTCAAAGAGTCAGATAGTGCCTTATTGGTAGTGAAAAATTCCACTTTAGGAGCCTTAATTTCAGCCAATATATCGTCATTGGAAGTCGGGCCTTTAGGGGAAGATAGTTTGTTGTTGGCAGCAGTACGAGTGATAGGCATGTTGAAAATTTAACTAGTCAACAACGTTTACTATCCTTCAAGTCTCCAAAGAAAAGCAGAGCAGTGGTAGGCGTAAAGTATAAATAACAATATATTTACCACCGTTTAAGTCTCCAAAAGAAATAACTGGTAAAGCTACAGCTAGTATTGATAAAACGGCTAATAATTATTGACAAAAAGTAATGATAAAACGTACCAAATAACGATGTTAGCTACGACTTGAGAAAAAGAAACAATGAAAAACTTTACTAAATTACTATACAATTATATAAATTGACGTACACCACAACAAGAACATCCAATAAGTAGTATAAAATTAATTGCACTACTAAACTGTTAGATATAAGAAAACATTAATTAATGCTACAACAGAGAGCAATAATGAGTATACAATAAAATCATGTTGGTAATCAATATTGCCGCTTCCTCCTTCTTTTTAAAGACGGATTCGTCGAACGCCTAGGCGAGTCTCCACGCCTCCCGGCAGTACAAATTTAATCTGACAGTGATTAAAATCACTATCATAGTTTTTAATGTTAGTGATAGCTTTGATGAAAATCCATAGTGTTTAATTTTAAAAAATTGGTGAAATATTCCAAAAGCTACATGATCTCCTATTTCCTTATTTATATTCTGATTACAAGTTTTATGTTTTATAAGTGTAATATATGATTAAATATTTATTATAGCAATTAAATATAGTATGAAATTGATATTTAATTATTTAGTATTGTAATTTTTACGAGTAATGTCGAATGGAAGATGTATATAAATAGTATTTATCATAAAAAAATTGTATTGATCCATACATTTTTCATAAATTTATAGAACTAAAAAGTCAAAAATGTAAAATATAAAATCAAGAATTTCAACACTAAAATAGCATACAGTAACCATTTTCACCATGAAGATAAAATAAAATCCGAAATTTTTTGTTCCATAATAAATTATATTATATTAGCTTTAATTTAAGATGTATATAAGTGCCCGAGTTTCTGGAACACTTTCAAAAGTTAATTTTTTGTGAGGAACTTTTCATTTTAAATCCCCTTTGTGGGCAGTTAAAGGTTACGATTTATAAAAAAAATATATCAAATGATAGAATAAGACATTATGCATCTATAAAATAAAATTATATTGATTTAGTCATTTTTAAAAAGTTATGACAGTTTTAATTTAAAAAAAATTTCGAAAATAAACGATTTTTAAATTTGTAAGATTTTTGGAGATTTCCCCATTTACATGGAACGAGAAAAATTTTATTAATTTTTGAGGGTAATGTCTGCGACTAGATACGATTTGTAATCTTTTTGTATCGATTTGTATCGTTGAAAGAAATCGGTTCGGTGAGAGCAGAGAAAAAGTGGTAACTGATATACAAAAAAGAAACACACATTATAGTAAAATTAATACCTTCTTAGCTTCGAATTAAAACTAAAATAAATTTTTAAAACAGTGACGATAACGTAATAAAATGTAAATCATTTTAAATATATTTTCATTTATTTTTCACGTGTATACTCATAAATAAAGTTGTTCAAACATACATAATAACTTGAAGTAGTTAGTTATTTTTTACTGAAGAAATATTTAGGTATTTATATAATTTGTAGCTCCCATATATTTCACTTGGATTGAAAAAAAATCTTAAAAAAATGAACACAGTTCTGCTTATATTTTTTAATTTAGTCGGTTTTTTTCTAAACAAATGCCAATCTACATTTATAAAGGTAAACAATAATTCATATTTATAATTTTTAGAAAAAATTTAACACTATTGGAATATAATAAGACAAATTTATCCTGAAATTTTGTCTATTTATAAATTGATTTTAAATAAAAAGTTACAGCATATTAAAACAATGAAATAAATTTTATTTTTATTACATATTTGAATTTTTATTTATGAGGTTCTAAACTTAGTAGTAGACATTTTTTTAGTTGTTAACTACCTGAAATTTTTTTTATTGTCAAAAGACAGCACAAAAACAATTTCTGACAGCTGTACTTTGCAAAATACTAAAATCAATGAAAAAATCATAAAATTAATGATAAAAGGTATATGATTTTGTATCTATACAATCGATTTATTATTTTAAGTAAATTATATATTTGAATTTAAGATAACACACAATCATTTATTGTGGAAAGTTAATAATTATATTTTTCGAATTAGACATTGATTTAAATGCTATCGTAAGTGACAGAAATAGTTTATGTGAAATTATGAAAAAATGATAACTATTGTATCCTAAATAGCAAATTATCAATAGAAAATAGGTCAAAAATATTTAAACATTAAGCAATAACAGAAGAATGATCTAGGTTTTAGTTTCGATGTGAATCTGAGAAGGTTCTAATGATGTGTTTTTTTGCAATGCCGATTATATTTTACCTTTAGCATCGATAGTTTGTTACTAGTTACCTTTTTTTTAACTAATGTGAACCATTGTGCCATTATATAATGTTGTAGGTAACGGTCTATACAACAGCGCTGCCGTACTGTTACGATGATGTTAGTGGCTTAATTTGTGGAAAATATGTAGAACGTCGCAGCATATTGTTAACGCGAGATATCTGGTCAATCCGACGGATACAGTTTTTTAGCTTCGATGCAAAGCGGAGAAGATATTAATTTTACGATGATGTGTATTTCTTTTTTGTATGTCTGTTACCACTTTTTCTCAGCTCTCACCGAATCGATTTCTTTCAACGATACGTCATAAGATTACAAATCGTATCTAGTCGAAGACATTACCCTCAAAAATTAATAAAATTTTTCTCGTTTTATGTAAATGGGGAAATCTCCAAAAAACTTACAAATTTAAAAATCGTTTATTTTCGAAATTTTTTCAATTTTTTTCTGCTTAAACTGTCATAACTTTTTAAAAGTGACTAAATCAATATAATTTTATTTTATAGATGCTTGATGTCTATTCCTATCATTTAATATATTTTTTTATAAATCGGACCATTTCCCTTTATACAGGGGGAGTACAAAACTTAAAAATGCATATAGAAAGTAGTATTTTTTTTAACTAAATTTTTAAAAGTGTTCCGAAAATACTGATACTTTTACATATTTCTTAATTTAAAGCTTATATAATATACTTTAATAATAATAAAAAAAAAAATTCGGGCTTTATTTTGTCTTCACGTTGAAAATAGACATCAAAGTTAAAAAAAAATTATGATTTTTAAAAAAAAATCTTTTTCATATTTTAACTTTATAAAATTCTAACTATCTGAAAAATGTATGCATCATTATATTTTTTTTAGATAAGTATTATTTATATATATATATATATATATATTATTAATAGATTACACTTATAAAATATAAAACTTGTAGTCAGGGTATAAATAAGGAAATAGGAGATCACGTAGCTTTTGGAATAATCCATTAATTTTTTTAAATTAAACATTATCTACAGATTTGCATCGAAGCATTTTTTATGACAATGATTTTAATCACTGTCAGATATCATTATACTTGACCAAGTGTTGGATAAGTTGGTTTAATAATAATTTTTATTATACTATAACAACAACCATAACATAATATATACATTACCTTTGTTGGGCGCCACTCTGTTGTAACACAGTAAAATAAATAGATATCGGTGTAAATGTGTAATGTGATGTGTACGAAGATGATGAGGATGTGGTGCCTGCTGTCTAGGTATTCACGTGCGTGTTGTCGTACAGCAGTCACTGTGCTCGGCCGACACTCCGGGTTAGCTGTAGGTGTGAAAGGCTGTTGTTATAGGAAGGGAATCAGGGTAACACCTAGGTATGAGGTGCAGACGAAGTGCAAGACACAAATACTCTGAAATGTTGTCGAAGAGAGTAGATAGGTTTAAAAAGGAATAAACAAAGACTTTACTTTAAACAGTAAGCCGGACAGCGACAACCGAGTACTGAGACTGATGAATGACACAAGGAACTGGAGTCGACTGACCACGATGGTCAGGTCTATTGGGTTTTTATAATAATTAGAACTATTGCCAAATTGGCAATAAATATTATTTGTTAATTCATCAGTCTCAAACAGCGGATGTGCTGTCTGTATTTTCAGTAAGTAAGGAAACAAATAAATTGTTACAAACAATAAGCAACGCAATTCCTTACTAACTAAACACCCTTCTATATATTGTTTATAATAAATGGATGAAATTATTCTTTATTGAATAACAGTATTATAGTTTCAGTGTTTTGATTTTATACAATAATAATAATATTTTAAAAATATTATAAATGCGGTTTTTAATTTTTTTATTTCATTGTCACTGAAAACAAATTTTATTCTTTTAAAAAATAAAATTTAAACTTTTACAGAATAAAACATCATCACTTTCATCACTATCATCTAATAGGGATTTTTTTTTGGTCTTAATTTAATTTAATTTTTCAGATTGAGTTTTAAGCAGTCTTTGCTGTATATCTTCTAATTTTAAAATTTCTTTCTCTGATTCTCTTGATACATTACTTTATTTGTGTTTTGTTAAAAATAAGAATAACAAAAATGTAATAATAAAAGACCTAATCTAAGAATTCTTTATTAAACTAAATCTATTGATATAAAAAAAAGTAGGGTTCCTATTCGTAAATCTGAAGCTGATACAAGTTTTAAGCATAAGGGATGGCGATAGAAATTTAATATTTCTTGTGAAACAGCTCATCAAAGATCCATAATGATTAAAAAAAAAATTGTTTATAATAATTGTATTTTTTAAGATATTATGTGAGACATAGTTAGCGGAATATTTTGTAGTGCTTGTTCATTTTACAAGTTATGATTGTATTATGAAGGGTTTAACTTTCTTTATTTATAATGTTGAAATAAAAACAATAATATTCAGAAATTTAAAATCTCACAAGTATTTTGATATTGAGATAAAAATTATTTGGGTATGTTATAAGTTTGAATTTAGGACCCATTATTTTTTTTTTATTACTACATTAATAAACTAAGATAAAAAATATTTATTTTAATTTTTAATTTTAATTTTATTAAAATTAGTTACACAAATATAGTGAAATAAATAATTTATTTTTCTAAAAATTGTGGAATATTGTATTATGTATATTTAAGTATATTATCTAAATTGAAACTATATTATAATTTATTTATATATTAGCTTAACATAATTATAATTATATTAAAAAATATTTTGATTTAAGTACTTAAAAAAAAACCCAGCACAGTGGGGTCGAGGCATAGTGGTGATGTTGCATAGTTGGGTCCAGTATAGATTTAATCTGACAGTGATTAAAATCACTATCATAAGAAACACTTCGATGCAAATCAGTAGATAGTGTTTAATTCTAAGAAATTGGTGGATAATTACAAAAGCTACATTATCTGCTAGTTTCTTATTAATACCCTGATTAAGATAAAGTATGTCGAATGAAAAAGGGATTATTAAAAAATATTATTTCTCATAAAAAAATTGTGTTGATTCGTACACTTTTCAATGAGTTATAGCATTATAAAGTTAAAAATGTAACCAACCCAACCCAACATCAACTCCTATTTCCTTAATTATATCCAGATTAGTAATTATTTTAATTATATATTATATAATTTTTATAATTAATTATTTTCAAATTATTATTGATTTTTAATATGTTAAAAGTAATCATTTTGAACCTACTTCTTTTTGTTCTTTAAAGTGAAAGTTTTAATAAAAAAAAAATGAATTTATTACCATAACTTTTAACTCAACTTGCAAGTTTGAAATAAATATTATTAAATAGAAAAAAAT